GCCATGCCATGCCATGATATGATATTCTAAATGGGTTGCCCAATATGAGCTAGTCAAAAATAGAGTAAACTATAAAACCTCAAAAATGCTTTATGCCACCTCAGAGGCAAGTGTAATATTTGAGGAAACTCACTTCACTGTATTACCTGTATTTGGATTTAAGGGAATTCTGGTAGCAAAACATTTACTATATTCTATCTTGAAGATTAAACTTACTGCACGCAATCCAGCAATACTTAGGTTACATTTTGCAGACAATATAATGAAATGTAAACTGAGTTATTGTTTAGTGTAGCCTAGCACTTCACTTCATAAATATTAACAGCCTTCCAATGTGCATATAGAAGCAGTAAATTAGAATCATTTTCTAGTTTAGATAGAACAATACCACTTGAAGTGAGAGACACAAAGCCTTTTTAGTTACCTCTTGTATACATATACATGTATATAAGATACATATATATATGTGTGTGCATGTATTTACACACGCACACTGACATGCATACCCAAGGAAAATGAACAAAAAATAGTAAGCAAAGCCGTCATTACTTATTATAGAAATCTCTTAAGATACATATCTACTTCTTCATTTTCCTACTAAATGTCCAAGTCCAAATTCACTCCTAAATCACATAAAGTAGATGATTTTGAAAAGATTAATAAAAGTCAGTATACGTGCATTTGGGATGAAAAGTGGATTTGGGGAAGGACTGAACTTTTTCATTGCAGATTATAATAATCTAAGTATCTACACATAAACTCTGTGACTAAATTCTCACTGTAGCCAATGAAGATCTGATGTATGTGGTCCGTAGAGACAAAGGCTGTTTAGTTCAGCCTAAGTAGTCATCTGCACCTGATGAGCGGAGTAGGTCTCTACAACCCACTAACAGTACTGACTCCAGTCTATCTGAAGTAGCTGGTGTTAATCACCAGAGTATTATTGAAAGTATTTAAAATAAAATTGTGATATAATTATAAATATTATTCTCATGTCATTGGTGCACTAGTATTTGATTGGATTTCTTGTCTTGTTGAGTCAGCACCCTCAGGATCAAGACTGCAGAATTCATATCCAGCAGGATCTGAAGTGGATTATGCTGGTATGAGATTTTTCACATCCATGAAACTAAGACTTGCTAGCTAACTGAGGAATATGGATAATTAGTCCAACAGTATCCCCAGCTGCATCAAAAGAGGGGTGGCCATCAGGGTGAGGAAGGTGACTGTCCCTCCCTGTATTGCCCTTGTGTGGTCCCTTTTGGAGTACAGCATCCAGGCCTGGGATCCCCAGTACAGGAGGGATGTGGAGCTCTTTGGAGCAGGTCCAAAGAAGACCACAAAGATGATTCTCCTACGAAGAAAGTCTGAAGAAGTTGGGCAAGAAGTACTCGAAGGGAACGTACAAGCAGGAGGGGGACCAAATTTTGACATGGTTTGTAATAGAACAAGGGGGGGTGGATTTAAAATAAAAGAGGAGAGATTTAGATCAGATGTTAGGAAGAATTTTTTTACTCAGAGAGTGATGAAGTGGTAGAACAAGTTGCCCAGAGAAGTGGTGGATGTCCCATCACAGGAGGCATTCAGGATCAGATTGCAGGGGTCCCTGGACAGTCTGATCTAGTGGTTGTCATCACTGCCCAAGGCAGAGAGGTGGAAACTTTAAAATGGGATGATCTTTAAAAATCCCTCCAACCTCAGACATTCTGTGATTCTATAACATGATATGATGAATATTATCTTCTGGAGAAGGCACCTCTCTGCTTATAGGATGATTTATCACTGAAATAAATAAATAAATAAATAAATAAATAAATAGGGAAAAAAATTGTGGCTTCTGGTATTCTTTAATAATGTTTTAGAAGCAATAGTTCTATAATAAGGGCTTTCCTTCCTCCTTGCCATAGTAACAGACTATTTCCTCTAATGTTAGGAAGAGATTTAGGTTAATGGAAAGACAGAACTGTTTTCTACAAAGCCCTTCAATATATCATGGGAGACAAGTAACAGGAAAAGAAGTGCTGGCTGTAGTTGCTTTTATCTGTTGTAGAACACAGGGTGAATCGCGCAGCATCAACGCAGACGTTCCAGACGTTCTGGCGCTGGGCTGGAGGCGGCCGGGGGGGTTTAGCGGCGCTGAGCAATGCTGCGGGAGCGGCGGGCAGCAGCACCTAGCGGGGAGCGGTGCACTGAGCCGAGCTGGCAGCGCGCCTGCTGACTGCAAGCCACAAATATCCACAAATAAACAGGAAACTGGGATAGGGAACCCACGTGTGTAGGCTTTGGTTTCGTTTTGTTGTTGTTTTTGCTTGTTTTCAGTACAGGATTTTACTAAAGTTGGAGACTGTAATAAAAAAGGTTACTGGAGTACGTAAAAAGGTTTTGTCTTTCCTTGGAAAGTCCAAGTGATGAGAAAATAGCATAAGACAGGTGATTTCTCCCCAAGAAACTTGACTGTCATTGTGATCTTAGGATTCCTAAATAGATATATTTTACAGATATTTAAAAAAAGTTACTGTGGCTATATAAAGTCATTAAAGGTGACAGGCTTAAGACATGATTACAACAAGCAATCACACCTGTACTGCTAGACTTACTCATTTTCAGTCTTTTAGCATGATTAAATTAAAATGGAAAGGAAGGAAGGAGGGAAGGAGGGAAGGAAGGAGGGAAGGAAGGAAGGAGGGAAGGAAGGAAGGAAGGAGGGAAGGAGGGAAGGAGGAAAGGAGGGAAGGAGGGAAGGAGAGAAGGAGGGAAGGAGAGAAGGAAGGAAGGAAGGAAGGAAGGAAGGAAGGAAGGAA